TGTGAGAACTAGTTTTCCTGCATCACCTCCACGCCAACGCCGAGCTGCGAGACGCATCTTCTTCCTAAGACCGTAGTGAGACAAATGCCACAGGGACTGACGCATCTGACTGTCCCTTCTCTCCACAGCGGTCTGTATGGACCCAGGCTTGTCAAACTGTACCACACACATCGTGACAGTCACCATTAACGGAGATGATGCCGAAAACGCCAGGCCGAAGCCAAAGCCAGGTACGTGCGCGTCGGCTGTGCTGAAGGTGGTGCGGTTGCATTACGTGTCTTGGAACTTGCTGCTAGTTTGATTTATTAAAAGAATGTAGTCTTTCATAGAAAGAATTGGTCTTTCAAACAGACTTCGTCAATATTCTTGTCTCTTCCTAATCATGTATTTTAGCATTTTTCTTTTGCCACTTCATTGATCTTTATGCTTGCTTTGTTAAAAAAAAAATGTTAAATGACATATTTCCCTGTTTTCTATATGAGGTGTATTCCCACTTAGTAAGATGAGCTGCAGGCTTAAATGGTAAACAGTGAGAAACTTAAATCACCCTGGTTTCCGTCTTCACGTGTATTGTAAAAATGGCGTCAGTTCCCCTGTAGCCCCAGCTGCTCTGGAGGGTGAGGCAGGAGGATCGCTTAAGCCCAGGAGTTGGAGGAACTATGATGGCGCCACTCTGTGACAGAATAAGACCATGTCTCTCTTAAAAAAAAAAAGGCCTAGGTAATTGTTAAGGGGCAGCAGCTTATTCACTACTTCTCTTCACTCTATAATATCCTTAGCAACTTTGGATTCAAAAGCTGTTAGTGTCTCTGTCAGTTCCGTGTTGTCTCCCATCCTTTTAAAGGGGGTATTTATAGGTGCACCACAGTAAATCAGTATCCGTGATATTCTTTAATTTCTTAACCTCTTCAGTTGTTCATCTTTATGTTTCAGTATCCCTGAACTAAAATGCAACTAAATTTGTCTTATTTTTTGCTGAGCACAGTGGCTCACTCCTGTAATCCCAACACTTTGGAAGGCTGAGGTGGGCAGATCATTTGAGGTCAGAAGCTCGAGATCAGCCTGGCCAACATGGCAAAACCCCATCTACCGAAAATACAAAAATTAGCCGGGCATGGTGGTACACACCTGAAGTCCCAGCTATTCGGGAGGCTGAGGCACAAGAACCGCTTGAACCCAGGAGGCGGAGGTTGCAGTGAGTCAAGATCATGTCACTGCGCCACTGCACTCCAGCCCGGGCAACAGAGTGAGACCCTGTCTCCAATAAATAAATAAATAAATCTTAATTTTTGAACTGCACATATACATATAACACACTGTGGGAAAGTTTGGCAGTTCCTCAGAATATTAGATACAGAATTATTATATGATCTGGCATTTCAGCTCCTAAGTCTACACCCAGAAGAACTGAAACAGGGACTCAGACACTTGTGTGCCTGTGTTCATGGCAGCCTCTGTGGAAACAGCCCAAGTGTCTGCCAGCAGATGGATGCATGCACAAAATGTAATATACACACAAACACACACACGCTGAAACATGCGGTAACATGATGGGCAAATACTGTGATTCTGCTTATCTGAGGTGCCCAGAATAGACAAACTGGTAAGAGGAAGACAGTAGAGTAAGGGCTACCAGGGATGGGGATTCGTGTTGAGTGGATCCCGAGTTTCTGTTGGGTGTCATGGAAAGTTCTGGAGATGGAGACTGGTGGTGGTTGCACACCGTTCTGAATGTTATTCAGTGCCACTGAATTGTACCTTTGTAGGGGTTACAATGGAAAATTTTTATTTTTTTTATTTATTTTATTTT